TATATATATATATGTATACACTCGTCAACAAAATTATTGCATAGGTAAATTTATAACAAAATTTTGCATAAATTCAAATAAGCATAACTCCGCGAAAAATGATTGCATTTAAAAGTTCTTTTTTAATTTTTAAAGGTAAAGTCTTTACTTTAAAAAAGCTTTCAATGGATTTCGAATCTATTCTTGCCTATCTAGCATCTGTTCAAAAATAAAGATGTGTTTTTTTAAAAGAAATTTACATAGTTTGATGCACTTTACAGAGTGGAGTAAATTTTTCTCGTAAATTTCACGACAACTATCGTAAAGTATGGATTTTTCTTTTATAAATTAACAAAAAATTAAGCTTTATGTGATTTTTTTTCGAGAAGATACGGTGTATCAAACTTACTTATGCATTTTATTCAATTACCGCCAGCATTAGCATTACCCTATGCGCATCATGGAGAGATTGCTAATCTGATTTTGTGTGCGCGCGTTTGTGTGTGTGAGAGAGGATGGAGGTATATGAAAGTATACTCTTTAAAATTGTGTATTTTCGCCTCGTCTTCGGATGATCTCTTGTGTACTCATGCAAGCTCTAATCAAAGTCTGAGGAATTTTGTATCATAATCGATGCAATGCTGCTTTCAGTTGCTGCAGATTTGTGAGCGATTTTTCTAATCTTCATATTCTTCTTCCTGTCTCATATCTCATGCATGTTCAATGAGATTCAAATCCACGCTCATTGGTGAATTTTATAGCATCTCGATGCTGTTTTCTTCGAGGAAGTTAATTGCAATTCTGCTAATATGCAATAATTTTGTTGATGAGCGTTGTCTTATATCAGGATAAGATATCAAGATACCACTACATCCTGCATCGATGAGCGCGGATTTGAATCCTATTAAGCATATATGGAATATGGAAGTATGGGTAGGAAGAAGAATACGAAGATTAGAGGAACAGCTAAATCTGCAGCAACTGGAAGCACCATTGCATCGAATATGATGGGAAATTCCTCAAGCTTTAATTAGAGATTGCATGAGTGTGCGCGCGCGCGCGTACAAAATTAGACCAGCAATCTTCCCGTCGTGCGCATCGAGTAATGCTAATGCTGGTGATAATTGAATAAAATGCATAGGTAATAAATTTGATACACTGTATGTCCTCGAAAAAAAAAATCGTATAAAGTTTATTTTTTTTTAATTTGTAAGAGAAAAGTCCAT